GTACTCATTATCTCTAAGATAATAGGAAAGAATTAGATTTTGCCAACATCTTGGGGCAATAGGGAGAGAGCCAGAACCTCTATGCTAAATTATTTCACCTATGTTTGTGTGGCAACCAGAAGTCCACTGAGGCAGTTACCTTCTTCAGGAACTAGCCACAGAGATATTCTTAATGTTCTGCTAGCTGAGCCATGTAGGTCATCTTAAATTGCTAATAAGTGTCAGTATATGTGCCTTTTTGGATGTAAACTTCTGGCACCTATAAATGTCTCAGAGTTGCTAATTGGAATCTTCTAAGATGTCTCAAAAAAGATATTTTCCAATGAATGTGTGGTTTATTGTGTAATAAATAAACAATTGTGAAACAAGATATTGCATGGCTATGATTCATTTTTCTGTAATCAGTCCAGTGTGGTATTAGTACCCATACTTGTATGTGGAAGTGAAAAATTTGAGACAGGCTAGTTGGACTTCCTCAAATGTTTAAAATCACATTTGAGTGAAACTAATGTCTTGATCCAGAACAGAGAGTGAGTTCAATTCCAGACCTCAAGGGTAACTAGGGGCCATAGTCAAGGGTCTCACTCACCAGGGTCTATCAGACCTGTATACCTGGTCTTTTTTTTTTTTTTATGATTTTAAGTTTTGTTCCTCATTGTTCTCTCACTCTATCCAGGATCTCCTGCACTAGTCCCCCTCTGAGTGGTTGACAGTAGTGGCCGGGCACCATCTAATTTTGGTCTCATAGTCATATTGGCTGAGGATCACATGGGCTACCAGTCCTTTGGACTGTTTCTATGTGTCTTTGGTTTTCTTCATTCTCCTTTTGGAACAGGTTCTTATGAGGGCAGATCTGAGTTGTGCACCATCATGGCTGCTATAACTACCACCTTCATTCTCAAGACTTTGTAGAAGTATGTACTTGCATTGCAGTCTTGTCAGTTGTATTGCATGCCACAAACCACTGCCATTAAGTCAATTCTGATTCATAGCGACTCTATAGGACAGAGTAGAACTGCCCCAAAGGGTTTCTAAGGCTGTGTAAATCTTTATCAGAAGCAGACTGACACATCTTTCTCCCACAGACCAGCTGATTCAAACAGCTGACCTTTTGGTTAGCAGCCAGATACTTTAACTACTGCACCACCAGAGCTTCTTACATGTCACAGGGAGTGGAAATGAAAAGTATATTTAAAAGACCTGTAGTCATAGATACGTAGATACTTTGAAACATACTTCAAAGGGATAGCAATATGTTTATTTACAACTCAACTTTCATATTGCAAACTTAGCTGTAACTAATTCCTTTATGGGAAAGGGAACTTTTATTTACCCTGATAGATGTACCCCCTCCAGCCATCTCATAGCCTAGTCATAGCCTCATGCTAGCTAATATTAGTGAGATTCTTCAATATCCTGTTTACTTTCCTTCCTAATTAGCTGTTGCTTCATTTTAGACAAACTATGCATCAGGCAAGTCCTTTTTTCAGGTACTTCTGAAGTTTAGTGGACTCTTCTGTTTTTGGTTTTTCTAGTTTCTGGCAGTGATACAAATTCTATTATTTTTTTATTCTATTGATTATTTCACAGCAGGAAGATGTGGCAGTCTGCTTCCATAAATATTTACAACTTGGAAACCCCATAGGGAGTTATTTTCTTTCCCATAGGGTCACTGTGAGTCTGAATCAACTCAACAAGTTTGGGTTGAGTTTGAGTGGGTTTGAGTTTTGAGTATTGATTGTTTCCTCGGGAATCTAGACTTGTGTGCTCTTTGCCATATTATCCACAAGTCCCTCAAATGTTGTTGTAACTTAACTATCTTGAAGGAAGGGATGATGCTTCTTCATCTTTTTTATCTTTTACATTTGTACTTTCCATAGCTCAGTTATTTCTAGCTTTTGTGACTTTGGCTGTATTTTTCATTAAATTGCTCATTTAAAAAATCTATGTTTACTTTAACTGGAAACTAAAAGTGTTATTATTAATGTCATTAGCTATAATTCTTTAAAATAACTATTAAAATAAAAATTACTCTTTGATGCACCACCTAATATATTGCTTATAACTCTTTGGGAGATATTGCTGTACAAAAATACTATTATTTTTTCTTTTAGTTTTCAGTAATAACAGTGGCTAATATTTTAAAGAATAATATTGTATTTTTGGTGAAAATTTACCCTGCATATTTGATTCCTACTCAACAATTTCTACTCAAATTGTTCTGTGTCATTGGTTACATTCTTCACAGTGCATGAGCATTCTCACTTCTGAGAATTTCCATTTCCAGTAATCTGGTTTCCCTGAGTCCTTATTTCTTGGCTTTATTTTTAAAGTAGCTATTCATCAGTTGGTATCATAGATAATTTTGGAGCTCTGATGGTATAGTGATTAAGGCATTTGGCTGCTAACCAAAAAAGCCAGTACTTCAAACCCACCAGCTGCTCCGTGGAAGAAAGATGAGGTAGTCTGTGTCTGTAAAGATTTGTAGACTTGGAAATCCAATAGGGGTCATTATGAGTTGGAATCGACTTGATGGCAGTGAATTTGGGGTTTTTTGGTAGATAATTTTTTGTAGGAGTATAGTACTCATCAGTAATATTCTTTTTTTTGTGATATTTTGTAATATTTTGTGAGCCAGTCTGTTATTTAGCTAAAAGGTGATTTCAGGATAGATTAAGTTCAAGATTTAAAGAGTAGTATTTCAGGGCTGTAGTCTCAGGGGGTCTCCAGTCTCAACTGGTCCAGTAAGTGGGGATTTTTCAAAGAATTTGAGTTTCTGCTCAACATTTTTCTCCTGTTCTGTCAGGATCCATCTATTGTGGCCCTGATCAGAATGGTCAATAGTGATAGCTGGGCACCATCTAGTTCTTCTGGTCTCAGTAGATGTGGCCATGGTTTGTGTAGGCTATTACTCCTGTACACTAGTTTCTTCTCTGAGCCTTTGGCTTCCTTCTTCCTCTTCTTCCTCTTTTTCTCTGGACAAGTAGAGAGCAATAGTGCATTTTAGATGGCTTGTCACAAGCTTTAAGACCCCAAACACTATACACCAAACTAGGATATAGAACATAAGCTTTGGGAACTATATTATGCCAGTTGACCAAGTTTTCTCATGAGACTATCCTAAGCCTTCAAACACAGAAAACTAATCCCTATGTGCTTTATTATATATGTGTATGTGCATATGAATATGTATGTTTGCACATAAATAGATGTATACATATGCATATGCTTACATGAACACACATATACATGCCTATACACATATATGCCATGTTGTTGTTATGTGCCGTCAAGTCAGACCTAACTCATAGTGACCCCTCCTTGGGTTTCCGAGGAGGTATCGCTGCAGAAGTAGATTACCCAACCTTCCTTCCGAGGAGTAGCTGGTGGGTTTGAACCACCATTCTTCTGGTTACCAGTCAGGTGCCTTAGGCACTACCCTACCAGAGCTCCTATATATATCATAGCAGTTACCAAAAGATCCTTTTTCTTTTTGTACATCTTAGTGACATTTTTCCCTTGGTGAGGTTGTATACACTTTACCCACATTTGGTGTTATGTTTCCTATCACCAAAATAACTAGTGTCTATTATCTAGAAAGTGATTCCCCCTTTCCTTCCTCCTTGGTAACCATCAGTGAACATTGGTCTCTCTCTGTATATCTATTCTTGTCTTTTTATAAAAGTGAGACTATACAATATTTAAGAGCTCTAGTAGTGTCATGCCTAAGGCATTTGACTGCTAACCAGAAGGCTGGTGGTTCAAACCCACCAGCCACTCCTTGGAAGGAAGTTTGGGTAATCTACTTCCATAATGATACCGCCATGGAAACCCAAGGAGAGTCGCCATGAGTCAGATACAACTCGACAGCAGTGGGTTATACAATATTTATCCTTTTGTGATTAACTTATTTAACTCAGCATAATATCTTCCAGATTCATCCACATTATTTTTTAAGGACCCATCATTTTTTATGGCTGAGTAGTATTCCATTGTATATTTTTACCACATTTTACTTATCCATTCATCTGTCAGTGGACAGTAAGGTTGTTTCCATCTTTTTGCTATTGTAAATAGTGCTTAAGTGAATATAGGTGTGCATATGTTTATTCATGTCTTTTCTATTAGATCTCTAGGGTGTGTACTTAGAAGTGAGATTGCTAGAACATAAGGCAGTTCTAGTTCTAATTGTTTGAGGAAGCACCATACTGTTTCCCATAGTGATTGTACCATTTTATAATCCCACCAGCAGTGGATAAGGGTTCCTGTTTTCTCACATTCTTGCCAGCATTTGTTGTTTTCTCTTTCATCAGTGCTGTTTTAGCCAGGGTGAGATAATAATCTTATTGTGGTTTTGATTTGCATCTCTCCAATGGCTAATAATCATGAACATCTTTTTTATGTGTTTTTTGGCAACTTGAATGTTCTCTTTGGTGATGTGTTTATTTTTCCACATCCTTTGCTCACTTCTTAATTGGATTCTTTGTCTTTTTGTTGTTGAATTGTTGAAGGTTAATGGCTAATATTTTGTTGACATTTTACCATGCAGGTCCATCTTGTATGGACTGTAAGTTGTTTACTACACAATTCCAGGTTGTACTGTTGTCATGGTGATATTAATGGTGTGTCCTAAAGTTGTATAGTCCTCCAGCCCTATGTGCCAGGCATTGTACACAACACTGCTTATTCTGATTTAGTCCACATAACAATTCTGTGAGGTAGATACTATTACTACCTTATTTTACAAATGAGGGAGTAATGGCACAGGCAGATATAGATTAGTTAACTTTCCCCAGGGTTGGTTACACACCCCATGCAGTTTGGTGCCTGGGCTAGTATTCACTACAATGCGTGCATACCAAGCTCACATCTACCTTTATATTGTACTCAAAAACTGTTAGTGGTTTTTTTCTTCACATGTGTGTTAACAACACTTAAATGTTGATTGTATGTGTCCAAAATTTCCAAGTCTTAATTAATTCTTGTATGTTTTATTCTAGGTTAATGGAAAAGGTTCTTTATGGTGTGTTGATCCAGAATATAAACCCAATCTTATGCAGGCACTGAAGAAGCAACCTTTTTCCTCAGCATTAACTTTTTACACTCCTCCTGCATCTCCACAAAGGTAAGGAATCTCCTGTATATGTGTCAGTGATGATTTATAAGAATCACTGTGTGCAGTGGAGAAACTTAACAAAAGTTGTGTGAGGGTGTTGTTTTTGTTTGGTGCTAATGAGGTATTCTAGTTAAATAATAATTTAGAAATTAAAGGAAAGTTCTGTTGATGGTTATTTATGTGTTTTATGTAGCTATGCTTATTTACTAAATTAAAGATTAAATGAGAGAATTGTCCATAATTTTTGTAAGCCATCACAATATACTTTTACTCTTCATTATTTTGCATTTTTATGTTTATATTTTTTAGCCTCACCATGAATAGATAGTAAATAAAGGTAATTTTGTGACATGAAAAAAGGTAGATAAAACAATGACAGCTTGTTGTTGTTGCCGTCAAGTCGGCTCTGACTCATAGCGACCCTATTCTGTGTACAACAGAATGAAACTGCCCTGTCCTGTGCCATCTCACAATCCTTGCTATACCTGAACCCATCGTTGCAGCCACTATGTCATTCCATCTTGTTGAGAGCCTTCCCCTTTTTTGTTGTCCCTCCATTTTACCAAGCATGATACCTTTCTCCAGGGAATGGTCCCTTCTGACAACATGACCAAAGTAGATCAAAGTAAGTCTGTACAATGACAATGACAGCATAAAAGTTAAAATCTTAGACTATTTTATTTTATTAAACATTACCTTAATGTGAAATGAAAGGTTTTATTCTGCTTGTTCTTTAGCAAAATTAACATTGCATCTGCCAAATCCTTTTGTAGCCTTCTCATGTTGTAATTTGTGTGAGGAAGAGTATGAGATATAAGTAAAACTGAATATGAAATAGACTTAATTTAATGAACAAAACAGATTTTTTTAAAAGAGTAGTATTAGAAATTCCAAAGAAAAGAAATCCTTTTCCCTAAAAAATGTTTTAATTTTTGGAATTGAAAACAAAACACTGTTTTCTTTCCATGAATAGAGAAAGTTTAATTTGATACATTTATTCAGGAACTTATATGTTTGGTGTCAATCTAGTCTCCCTTAGACATTAGTTTAGATAAACACTTTGATTTCTATGGTAACACCAATACTAATATTACGTCATGCTCAAACATTGAATACAGAGATAAGGAACTATTATGTATTGTCTGTTATTCAGGTGTTTTAAATAATTCATTTTATTTAGTTACCACAGCAACCCTATGTGAGATATTTAATTATTCCTACTTCACTCTGGTGGTGTATTGCCTAAGGGATTTGACTGCTAACCAGAAGGCTATTGGTTCAAACCCACCAGCCACTCCTCAGAAGAAAGATCGGGCAATCTATTTCTGTAGTAACACTGCCTCAGAAACACAAGGAGAGGTCACTATGAGTCGGATCCAACTCCATGGCAGTAGGTTTGGTTTGGTTTTCACAGATAAAAACACAATGAGATTATTTTGGAGATCATCCAAATAGTTGTGATTCAGTTTGGGATCTTTTCCATTCTAAAGCTTGTGCTTTTTCTACTTTGGCAGACCCTTCCTAAACTGAGTAGTATTAGCAAAGAAAACAAGACAAAAAATAGTTTGTTTTCTGTTGTACAAGTTAGCGATCTTTATTAAAAATGCTATAAAAAGTGAAATAAAGATTTTATAGGCACATTTGTCTTTTCTCTTTATTTTTCAGTGGATCTTTATCACCTCATTACTTAACTTCTGTACTAAAGCAGAATCAAGTACGAACTGTCAAAGGTAGGTATAAAGATCATATTTCAAGTCATAAAAACTCAAGTCAAAATTTAGGATTTTTTTTTGTTGTTTAATTTTTTTCTACTTACAAAAGCATTGTAGAAAATTCGTTCATTGTAGAAAATTTGAAAAGTAAAAGCATCTGTAAAAGAAAAGGTAAAAGTCAGTCCTTATTGTTAACATTTTGATGTATTTCTTTTGGTTCCCATTTATGCATGGGGTCACCATGAATCAGGAGCAAACTTGATGACAGCTAACAACAACATATGAGTGGACTAATACCCATCTGTTGGTTTGTTGAACTGTAGTGACTTGCAACATGCATGATACTGGAAGCTATGCTACTGGTATTTCAAATACCATCAGAGTGACCTGTGGTGGACAGGTTTTAGTGGAGCTAACAACCTAAGACAGACTAGGAAGAGGGACTTGGCAATCTACTTCCAAAACTTAACCAATGAAAGCATATGGATCACAGCAGCATATTGTCCAATATAGTGCTGGAAGATAAGACCCCTGTGTTAGAATGTACTGGACAATAGGTGCAACAATGGACTCAAACATACTAAAGGCCATGAAGATGGGACAGGACTGAGCAGTGTTTCATCGTCTTACACTAAAGATCACCGTGAGCCGGTGCCAATTCAGTGACACCTAACAGCAACAATAACAGATGAGTAGAGATGCACACACAAGCATATACATACACATACTCGTTTATTTCTCCAAATATTAGGTTCATACTGTGGGTACAGTTTTATGTCCCTTTTTCCATTTACTTTTTTTTTTGTATATGATTTGAGTGAAAGTGTTTACAAAGCAAATTCGTCTTCTACATAACAGCTCATGTACATTTCATTTCATAACATTGACTTCAGTCCCCATAGTTTAACAGCTCTCTTCCCACTCCCTTGTGGTTTTCTTTTCCCTGTGTCTTTCTTTCCTATACATTCGTGCCCTCTGAGCTATCTCCCTGTATAAATACTGACCTTCTGATCTCCTATGACTGATTGTTCTAAGGAAGGTACCTACCTGGTGTAAATATTCACCTTATATGCCCGTGGCTAGAAACCATGGGAGTGAGTTTAGTTCCAGGCCACCAGTCTCTGTCAGACCAGTAAAAAAAACAAAATCGAACTCAACCGCCATCAAGTCAGATCCAACTCATGGTGACCCCTCCTTGGGATTCCAACGAAATATCACTATGGAAGTAGATTGCCCAATTTTCCTTCCAGGGATCAGACCAGTGAACCTGGTATTTTTTTTATGATTTTGAGTTTTGCTCCATGTTGTTCTCCCACTCTATCCAGGATCTCCTGCACTGATCCCTTTCTGAGTGGTTGATAGTGATAGCTAGGCACCATCTAGTTTTTTTGGTCTCATGATCCTGTAGGCTGAGGTTACATGGTATTTTTTTATGATTTTGAGTTTTGCTCCATGTTGTTCTCCCACTCTATCCAGGATCTCCTGCACTGATCCCTTTCTGAGTGGTTGATAGTGATAGCTAGGCACCATCTAGTTTTTTTGGTCTCATGATCCTGTAGGCTGAGGTTACATGATCCACTAGTCCCTGGGACTAATTGTGTCCATACAGCTTTGGTCTTCATTCTTCTTTGCTCCAGACAAGGAGAGACCAATTGCTGCATCTAAATGGCCACTTGCAAGCTTTTAAGACCCCAGTTGCTACTCACCAAAGTAGGATGTAGAACAGTGTTTTTGTATAGTATGTTATGCCAGTTGAGCTTGATGTCCCCAGCCCACAGGTCCAGCAACTCCCTACCTCAGGGTAGTTTGCTGTGGCTAAAAAGTTATCATAACTTTGTCCCCTGTTAGTTCTATTTATGTGGACATTTTTATGTTGTTGTTGTTATGTACCATTGAGTCGGACCTGACTTATAGCAAACCCTCCTTGGGTTTCCAAGACAGTATCACTATGGAAGTAGATTGCCCCATCTTCCTTCCGAGGAGTGGCTGGTGGGTTTGAATCACTAGCCTTCTGGTTAGCAGTCAAGTGCTTGATAGCACATATAAATATGTATGTATTTTTTATGTGTATTTTTCCTTGAATATATGATTCAATTTCTTAGTAGTATCAGATTTGCCTTTCCAAATCTATGAATATTTCTTATATGGGTGATATAAATACAAAAATTTAAGCATGAGAAGTCATTAAATTGATTTTTGTAGAATCTTAGAGATTTCTTATATGTGTGTGTGCATGTGCGCATGACAGGGGCAAGGAGGTGGCATCTTCTGACTTCCTCTAACTCCACAAGAGGAAGACACAATCACCATCAGCAGCCCAAGGCCTGTTTTTATGAGGCAAGACATACCGTCACCCTCCAGCCCTCTTACTAACCTTGTCACCAACCGTTCCTCCTGCGGCACCCACCACCTCTCTGCTGGGTTCAGTAATTTGCTGGAGTGGACACACAGAACTCAGACTGTGGGGTTTATCGGGGAAGCAGCAGATTACAGTACAAGTTCAGGATTGCAATCAGTCTCTCTCAGCCAGCCGTCTCTCAGTAGCATGTCTCTCTCTCATCAGTGTGTCTCTCTCATGTCTTTCTCTCAGCAAGCGCATCTCTCTCAGCCTCATGTCTCTCTCAACCATGCATCTCTCTCAGCTGGCAATCAGAGAAATTGCCTTCTGCCTCTAGGAGGGCTCATTTTAAGCCTGGCAGAGTGGCAAAACTAACCAATCCCAACATCAGAATTCCATACACTTGAGAAAGCGAACTTTCCAGAAGATTACTTCGAAGATTACTTCATGCTGCTTCAGGTGGATGACTTTAACAAGCAGCTACTCAGTTGCTCATGGCAAAGTGGAAGTTCCAAAGACTGGCTGGAAAAGCCATGCCGTGTAATTTACTACACCACAGTGTGCATGGTGAAAATATGTATAACAAAACATATGCCATCTTGGCAATTGCTACATGTACAAATTTAGTGACACTGGTTACCTTCTTCAAGTTGTGCAACCATTCTTGCCATCATTTTCCAAATCATTCTACCATCATGTACATAAACTCAGTGCCCCCTAAGCAAAAACTCCTCCTTTGCTCCTTCCTCCCACCCCTGTAACCATTAATAATCTTTGTTTTCTATATATTTGCTTATTTCATATAAGTGAGATCATACTATATTTGTATTTCTGCAATTGACTGGCAACTAGATATGTTATAAAATACAGCAATTAGTGTTTTGGGGCTTTTTTTTTTTTTTTTTTTTTAGCCTTGGTGATGCAGTGGTTAAGTGCTTGACTGCAACTTAAAAGGTCAACAATTCAAACCCACCAACCACTTTGTGGGAGAAGGATGTAAAGCCTGCTTCTACAGAGATTACAGCCTTAGCTAGCAACCCTATGGGCCAGTTATATTCTGTCTTGTAGGATCACTATGAGTCAGATCACTATTGACTCATTGGCAATGGGTATAAAGTGTTTTTTGTTTTTGTTTCTAAAAGCCAATTTAAAAATAGCATAAAGGACTTTATCAATGGGGGGAAAAGTATTCTTAAATGTTTACAAATGTGGCAATAAACATGAGCCTTCAGTTTAGGGGTTCTTTTTTCTCTTTTAGTTGGGTGAAAGTTTATAGAGGAAATTGGTTTTCCATTCACCAATTCATACACATTTCGTTTTGGGACATTCAGTACTATCCCCACATTATAACAGCACTCTTCTCACTTCCTCCCTATGTTTACCAATTCCCTTTGTCCTTCTTTCCTGTCCTTTCCTGTCTTCTTTGCTTTATCCCTAGACATATGCTGCCCTTTGGATCTCATCTGGTTGATTTTTCTAATGAGTGTGTAACTTCCTGTTATTATTGTTCACCTTGTAGGCCTGTCTTTCATTTGATTAAAAGTTGAGCTGAATGAGTTCATTTCCCAGCTTGAACGGTGTCTAAGGGCCATAGTCTCAGGGGTTCCACCAGTCTCTATCAGACCAGTAAGCCTCGTCTTCAGTTTAGATTTAATACCAAACAGATTGGGTACTACAATAAAAATTATTTTAAGTTCTGTCCATACTGTTTTTATTTTTGTTCCAAGAAATTCAAAATTGTGTTTTGGACAAAGCATTGATAATTCTTTGTTATCATCAAGTAATGACTCATTTCTCTACAGCTAATTTTTAACATTAAAATTTTTCAGTTTATTGGCAAGGCATTACAGGAAACTGCATATAAATGTCCCAAACCAGACAGATCAGGTATAGGTAAAGCCCTTTTGCAAAGATTCATCTGGTTTTGTAGAGTTAATTTCATATAGGAGAGTTCAAATTAATTTGGCTATAATAAATTTTAAAAAATAAAGTCTATTTAAGCAATACTTCTCTCATTCTACTGTGACAAAAACAGTACCTAGTTTTGTTATAGAAGCTCTAATGGCGTGATGCCTAAGGTATTTGACTGCTAACCAGAAGACTGGCGGTTCAA